CCACCTGGAGCGAGCAGTTGGCATGGATGGAGTACACCCAAAACTCAAGCATGTCAGCTGCCACTGGGATGTCCCCTTTTCATTGGCCCGTTTGCCATACAAGCCATTCTCAATTTAATTTTTTAAATTAAATTAAATTAAAATTAATTTAAAATAGTAAGAAGTGTAAGGGTTTAGTCAGGAACAATTTTGCAACCACTCATATTTCATATCTTGATTTTGAACAGAAAGGAGTGGGTTTAGTGCAGACACTCTGTGGTGCAACATCTATAGCAATTAACTTTAACATAAGAAAAGATGTAGTACGGAAACTGACTTCATGCAGAGAGGACATTGCGAAGAAAAAACACCTGCAATATTGCAGGTGTTTTTTCTTCGCATTTTTCAAAAATTCCACATAGTCCCATATGGGACTATGTGGAATTTTCAAAATTTTAGGGAAATTTTTAGAAAAGAAGGTGGACCCTTTTACTAATTACCCAGCAATAAAGCTCAGTGTGGTGCTTTAAGCCATGCCCACATGCAAGTACAGTTTTTTTCTTAACAAGTAGACCTTGCTACCATTCTGTTATTCTCTGTTAAATTAACAAATAGTAGGTACAGTTTTCTTCTTAAATGATCATATTGTATTCTATTCATTTTATACAATTCACATTATGTGTATACTACTTACCGAAAATGTTTGCATGTGAAACAACAGAAACAACAGAAAACTTCTAATGGTAAAAGAGACTGACCTGTAGCAGCTGAAGATGCAGACAGATAAGAGACTGTAGCAACTGTAAAAAGACAAAAATAATTTGTTTTTATTCTTTGGATACGATAAATAACAGAAAATCTTTAAGTAACTTAAACTGACTGTTAGTATACCAAAGACAGAAAATAATAAAATGATATAAAATGCACCTCACCAATAGCCAAATAGAAGACGCTGCTCTGTGTCCACATGACTGAGAAACAAAATGTTTTCTGTGTAAAATGTGTGGCAGAAAACTGAAGTTAAATCTGTGGTCTATGCAAATGCTTCAGACTGTATTGGTTTTCCCTTGAAACATCTGTTCATTTCCATTATTTGTCTAAATTAAAAATTACAAAGTACAACAAACAAAATCTGAGAAGACATGTAACAAAGCAGGAGAAGAAAGTAAAAAATTTGTTCATTTCATACAGTTTGGCACCTGCATGAAATAAAAGAAATACGTATGTGCGGCACTAGTTCGAGTTGAACAACTGAATCTAAATGGAATTAAAGATTACGTCTCAAACTATGTTCATCTCTAAATGTTACTGACAGACGCTACCATCTTTGGTGCTTCTTTTCTTCCAGTTTTATTTTTCTAGTGATCACACAGGAAAAAAAAAGTTCATTATTAAAGTTTAATGTTGTGTTCAGCCAGATGGAATAAAAATGCATTGATATTCTTACCAGTTCTGCGTTCACAAGAGTTAGAAAGCTGAAGTGAAGGTTACTCCTTGATAGTTGTAGTTCGCTACAGCCGTCTGAAGGCTGCAAGAATTTGTTCCGCCTACAGACTCAAACAGTTGCGATAGTGCAAAAAGCTAAACCACAGTTACACAGATTAACACATCGATATTTGTGCTACACTGTTAAAAAATTAATGACTGCTAACTAAGCTCCTTTCTCCACTCAGCCCCTGAGAACAGACCATCTGTTCTTGTTTTTGTCTCTCCTGATGAAGATAAAGCAAGAAACTCTTTTCTTAACAATATTTTCACATAAAAAAAAAAAACCTTATGAATATAATCTACAAAGAAGGCGTTTGGATCATTGGAAAGCACGAGCAACAAACATGATGACCACGACCATTTAACATATCTAAAAGTGCAGCACAAGGTCTCTGTCTGCCAAGACTAGTGCAAAGAAATCCAAAGGCTCACAGCAGAAATTGCATCAACAGAGAGAAAGAGATATACTATGGGGGTAAAGCACATGAAGAGGAATGAAACACTTTACATGCCAACCTCAAAGTTTTTAACCACTGACAGTTTTTTTTAAGTGGTAGATGTCTAAAACCACTAAATGTTACAACACTGCTGATGCATTGCATCAAACCTTGCACCAGAAAGCCAAATGTCCAATTACAGCACAATTATATTTTGCTCAGATTTATTATTTTTTAACTTATCTGGCAACTTATTAGTAAGGAAGGAAAGCTGTGCATATTTCTGCTTTTTATTTCATGTGAGGAAAATCACAGACTGAAACTCATCAACTCGTCAGTTTATTTCTGATGCTGTCAGTCGAAGTACCTCTCATTCAGTGATAATTTATATAAACCTGCACTGTTAAGAAAATAGAAAAATAATCAGGAGAACATAATATTCACTGGGACACCAGAGAAATACTGTCAATTAACAGAAACTTACCATTATGAAAAATAAAATTTTTTATTAACAGCTTGTGTATACGTGCAGATTTTGTTTGTAAATTCAAGAATTTACATTTGTGAAAACAATGAAAATATGGTTGAACACTGTTATATTACAAGTAATCAGACTTAGAGTTGCAGAAAATCACTGCTGACAAATCTTTAGTCCATGATTAATGTAATAAAATGATATACAATCCATCAAAAGTCACAGTACTGTTGTTACACCATTAACAGGATTTATAATTATCTCTACTCTACATTTTTGATTATATCAAGTGTAAATGGGTTTTTACATGTATTCTGACAAAGTAAAAGGGGCTTTTACTGTAATAACAAAATATTGTTAATTACAACTCTTATCAAGTACATACTCAGTGATCAGGTATGGTTATTTAACATCAATTTCTGTTAATAGAACACAAAAGAAAACTTTTAACAGTTTACTATAAAAAATAATGACTTTTTCTGAGCTTTACTTAGAAACAAAAAAATCAAACCATGTAGCAATTAAGCCAAGGATACACTAAATTTAGAATCATAATCAAATATAACATGTTTGGATACTTGTAAACAGTAATGTTTCAATCTAAGTGTTCAAGTTTGCTGTGAACACAATGACATTGTTGCCCATCCTCAAGGAAAGAAAAGTTATCTAAAGACCAGGACTCACTCCTAATGAATCCATTTTTCTTCTTGGTAGCATCTTTGTCAGTACTGGTAGAATAAGTGATATAATCAGTCTATTCAGGTTGCACAGTGAGTGTAGCTCAACCAGGATCACACGTCGATAGGTGCAGTTTTGGTTTAGTTTGCCGTTTATCTCAAGAGTGTGGTAGAGACACCAGGGGACAGACTATCACACGAGAGAGCGAGAGTAAGGGAGAGAGTTTGAACAGGATAAGGCTGTTGTTAGACAGGCTTTCGACTGTGCGTGTGGCTCCCTTGTGGCCAGAGAGCGCAGTTGCACTATTGAGCACAAGGTCCAGAGAACGGCTGCAAAATGGTGTCAGTTGTGCGGGTGTCTAAGGAACGTGTTGACCCTTTTAAGTCATTTACTAAATCTGCTTATGCATAAGTGCAATGTTTATAAGTCTGTTCACTATGTGGTTTGTTCATGCAGCTAAGGCTAGCTGGTGTGTTACACACTGGTAAGCTAAAACGATTTTGGTGCTGTTATGTAGCATTATTGTATTTACAATTAATAATAGGCACTGTTTGGTTTTGATCATTGTGTGAAACATATGCGCAAAGATGATCATATATAGGAAGATTCATTCGTATTTCTGGTTATATTGTTAGACAGTTAATTAGTCATAAATTATGATTTGAATGTTTATTGTATTCAGAATGAATATGCAATTGTGATCCCTCATGAAATGTGTAATGAGATGAACACAAATGTAATGGCAGTACTCAGAAGCCAGCAGGTTAAATTAAAAACAAATCTTTAAGTGACCTGAAAAAGAACAAAGGTAATAGGCTATAAATAAATACACACAAAGTGTGACAGTGCTGTCAGGAGGTTAATTAGGGTAAATTCAAAGCTACACAGGTTTGGCCTAATGGTGTCCTCAAATTAATACAAGGCTGGGATCAGCGGTGGATCAACTGTGGTCACATGGGGTGGCATGTGCCACACTAAAATAATCTCTTACCACCCCTAGCGCTTCCCCTTTTTTTACATAATGACAATGTTGTTTATTAAAATAAGTCAGCATTACTGCATTGAGCAGTTCTGGGTTTAATTAACACTGTATATAAATTTTAAAACTGAATACACTGCATAATGTCCCCTGTCTCCTGAAAAACGTTTCAGCCCATAGTGTCCCCTTCAAACATTTTTTTTCTTTGTTGTCAGTGGCAACCGAGGCGCTGGTCTGATTGGCTCCAGAGGACGTTTTAAATCAGCACTGTGGGGATTTCAGATTTCAACACAGACAGTTAATTGGTACACAAAAAGGCATAAAGGTAAGTGTTATTAGTCCAATAAATCCTGAAAAACGAGGAAAACTCTCAGTTAATGTTGAAAGCTGCAGTTATCATAAAAATGTGATAATGGTAAGACAAACTTTAATTTGAGTAAACCAATGCATTTTAGTTTTAGTAGTAACAGTAATGTTAAATCTGCATTTACATAATTTCAGAAACTTCTGAGACATCTGAAGAGAAAGGGAGGTATCACTAATTTGTTCCACAGAGAGGAGGGATCAGGAAGACAAGGCAGATGTAGGTACAGATAGCATAACAGGAGAAAGTGACGATGCAAAAAGAGAAGCAGAACAAGCTGTGCTAGGGCAAAAAGCTGAGCCAGGACAAGGAATTGAAATGGGGAAAGCAACAGAGGACGAAGAAATAGATATATACTTCAAGAGTGGATAGGGTCAGACAGCAGAGGGGAGTGAAAAGTGAAAAAACTCTGATGATGTAATGGATAGTCATTGCCAGAAAGAGGTACTTGATGACCATACGCAAAGACAATAGCAGAAATTCTAATGACCCTGTGATTAAAAAGAGATACATTTTTCCTTGTTGCTGGCTATTTGAGAAAAGTATTGAACTTCATTTCAAAAGGTTGAATATTCCAAACTGTGGCCTTGCAAATGTCCCATAATCCATAATGGCCTACAAAAGATTACAAAAGATTAACTACAAAAATACAAGCCTGTAATGCTACAGACATTTACAAATTTGCTATATAAATTTGCATTTTGGCTATAGCAAGAATAATATAGAATGTGAATATGTGAAAAATAGATTGTGCATGCGTGCAGCTTAGAGGGAACAGTGGTCGTGTGTAAGTGGTCTTGTTTATTATATTGCTCTCTTTTTCTTTGCTTGTCTTCTCTTTTTTCTTTCTCAACAGGTGATCCAGGTGATTGATATATGTATTTTTTGTCTGTTTGTTTTGTTGGTTTTTGCCCTTTATCACCGTCCCTCTTCCCCGCTCTTTTTCTTTCCCTCTTTCTTTCTCCCTTTTCTTTTCCCCAGTCATGTCTGTCCCGTGTTCAGCAAATGAAAATAAAATAAACAATAAAAGCAAAGGTGAAACAAATAGACCAATACGACAAGGCTGGGATGGTCCATTTGGTAAAGTAAATCCGTTGGGCACCTCTCTTTGCCTTTAGACAACAATTCTGATGGCAAAAGAACCAAACGGGACAGGCAAAAAAGCCCAAAAAAACAAACAAAACATCTCAGGCATTTTAAATAGCAATTTTTCTAACAATGTGCATTTGTTCTCATGCAAGCATCAGTTTTCTTTTAGCCTCTCCTGCTTTTGGATGATATATATTTTTTCAGTCTATCCTGGCTTATGGACAACGAGACAAGCAGATTGACAGGTCAGTAATATGAGTTAGTATGAAAAGAGCATCTTAGAGACAGAATTTCTCAGAAGTTAAGATATGCAGAGATTCACCTGTCCATTGGCAAAAAAAAAGCATCTAATAAAAAGGCATCTGTTTCATAATAAAGTTTGTCAACATAAAATTGTGAAGACTAAATATCTCATCACCTAGAGTACATAATCTGTCATAAACTGGCTGTGCGCAGGCAGTAGAAGGACCCAAACGCAAACTCTGCAGCTTTATTTGCTGAACGGCAAAAACGCAATACAAAAACTAAACTGAGAAGGCTAAACTTGGAGACGCAGGGAGACGCACAAAACTATGAGAGAGGACGCGACACAAAACTGAGGGAAACGCAGACATAAATACACAGAAAGATAACGAGGGACGTGGGAGCACACAGGGAAGACAGCTGACACAAATAATCATCACGAGGCAGGACAGGAGCAAAACAACATGATGTGCACTGACAGGAGACTGTCAAAGTAAAACAGGAAGTACACAGACTGGAGGGGGAGAGAGAACACAGAGGAGCACGAGGGAGAGCACAGACATGACGAGCTGGGGAAACATGATGGAATAAAACACGAGGAGGGGAAAAAAGGCACAAGAACTCACAATTAAACAAACACAGACACACAGAGGGAGACAGGAGGCAAAGACACAAGGGAGAATCTATAAGCAACATCTAAACAGAATAACCTAGGAACCATAGAATTAACCTTTAGGACAACAAGTGGACTTAAACATAATACAAAAACGGCAAGAAACACAGGAAAAATCAAAACACTTGGTCTAAAGACCCAGGACCATGACAGCATCAGTAATATCATGAAAAAGATTCAGAGAATCTGGAGTAATCTCTGTGTTCAAGGGACAAGGCTGGAAATCCAAACTGGATGCCTGTGATTTTGGGCCCATGCATTATCATGACAGAATCATTAGGCAAAGTTCTGTCATAGAAATCACTGTCATAGAATAACAAGTAAACAGTATTTTTCCTGTCACTTTATCACTGTAATATAAAGAATTTTATTACCAGTAACAGAGAGGTTGACAGAGTCACTTGTGGAGATGCTGGAGTCGTGTGAATATTCACACTGGTACAATCCATCCATGTCAAAATCTACTTTGAGGATCTTGAATGTAGCAGAGTTGGTAGTTGATAGTTTTGTCTGACTGAATGAGCCTGAAATATGCCTCAGAGTAAATTCTCCTTGTAGAAGCTGTTGGCTTTGAGGTGATATTGAACAAGTGATGCTGACATCACTTCTCCACTTAACTTTATTAGCAGGATTCATGGAGATTCTGGGCTTTGGGAGGATCACTGAGGAAACGTCAGTCATGGAGAGACGATTCAATTAAAAATGGCAAAACATAAACCTTATTATATTAAGAATGATACATTATAAAGATTATTATTGTTATTATTATAAAGAATTATGATTATATAAAATAATTTCTCACCTGAGCAGAAAACACCAGCATCCTTACTGTGTGTACAGTCATGTGTCCCAAATCCTCTGTGCTGACACTCAGTCAGAGATCTCTCACTTCCTGAACAGGACACATCATCAAGCCAGATGGATCCACATCCCTCACCAAAGCGGGCTGATACAGCAGCACTCTGTGCTGTTCCACAGTCGAGCTCTCTGCAAACCACCTCAGCATCATTTATGTCCCAGTTATCATCACAGACTATTCCCCAAGTGTTGTTGTAAAAGATTTCGACTCTTCCAGAGCACAAAGTGCTTCCAGATAATCTGACTGGCACACCTAGGCACAGTGAGCATAATAATACCTTTATATAAAGAAAATAAGATTTTTCATAGACTGTTATTCAGTGTGTAATTAGTTCATGACCTCATTCATTATTTTGCTCAATAAAAACATACTCCAAAAAAGTACGGTCCAAAAAAACATACTAAAGGATTATTGTAAGGTCTTTCCGTTACAGTATGAAGTGCCTTGAGGAAACTGTTTTTGAAATTGAAATTGAATTTAACTGTTTTATTTCTATGCTTTATGCTGAGCTCACATTGCATTGTTAAATGCTACTATAAGATGTTTCAGTAAAATATACACTATTGATGCTCCAGCAGTTTGTTTGCCAGGCTGTGAGGAATGTTAAATGATTAACAAGAAAAATATACACAGAAAAAAAGAACATTTGGAAGTGTGGGCATGGAAGCAAAAATAAATGTGTTACAAAAGCTGGATTTTAAATTGAACACAAACTTTAGCTTTCGTAAAAGAAGTTTAACCAAGAAAATTATTTAAATATAGAAAATAAGTATAATTTCAAATCATGTGGAATTTCATATAAATATAGTCTATAACTTTAATTTCTTTAGCCCAGATAATTAAACTTTTCAGTTATATAAAATATGTGAATTTTGATTCTCCCGCAGTCGTCACTACCCAAACTGTCCCCAATTCCTAAATAACCAAATTTCACCTGTTGCCAAATCACTTTTTATTGGTTGACATGATGCACTTTTACACTAATATGAAAGCGGTGGCATTCTTTTCTTTTTCTTTTGTTTCTTGCGCTGTCCTTATAAAATACAGTTTTTACCGTTTGTTCCTCACTAAACGTGAATATTCAAATACTAAATATTCCAAAAAAAGCATTGCGCATATTTTTATGATGATAACTCTGGTTTTAGCAGCCTATCAATACAATGAGGCTAATTAAAGGTTTGTTTTCAGTCTAATCTTCTGCTTTCTAAATACTGCATTTTCATTTCTCTCCTTCCCCACTTCATGACAAAACTCAAAGCCTTTCTACAATCATGTTGTACTCTCCTCATATAACTACTTGTCTTCTCATACCTCAAACACAAGAATGTGCCGGGAGACTCACCAAACCTCTGTGCAACTGCACCTGCTATCAGTGCTACCAATACTGACAAAGACACTAACAAAAAGCTAAACTACAAAACAATAAGTCAGTGGGGTTAAGGGGAGTGTAATGATCTTTGACCACTTTTCCAAGAGTGTGAACAAATATTTCATTACGTTTTACAGTGAACCTGAACGGTACCTGCTGTCAACTACACATGGATTGAAAACAGCTTTGCTGTCTGCAACTGTCCAAACATCTTCAGGTATGTGGAGCACCGGTTTAAAACAGCAGAGTTTTGAAACGGGGGGCCACTGTTCTTTGTTGGTTTGTTTGTTAACTGTAGAAAATGCTGAAAACAAGAATGTGTGTTCTAATTGTTAAAGCTAAATCTTATGATTCTCTTTTTCTCTCTCTTTTTTTTAATGTAACACAAACTACGTGAAAATTTCTATGAAATGATAAAGAGGCCTTGCAGTAACAATTCTGTATTTGCAACATTATTATGACATTAAGTCAATATTTTATTCATATTTAGTATAAATTATAGATTATAGATAGAAAGTATAAATCTTTCTATCTATAATCTATAAAAGTACCCATGATTTCATCTACATGAAATCAC